GCCAGCTGGGTGACCTTGGGTTGGTCGCTCTCTTTCAGCTCTAGCAAGGAGGCAATGGCAAACCACCTCTGAAATCTTGTCAAGAAAATTGCAAGGACTAGTCCAGGCAATCTCCAGAAGTCACTATACAGAATCATCTCACAGGAAATGTGAGCCATTATAGAAAGGTCTGCTCATACAGCAAGGCACAGAATAATTACCAACAGAAAGAATTATTAAGTGTTACACACAAGGATGTATTACATAAGATAAGTTATTTATTGTGGCTTTCCTAAGGAAAGCTGAGAACTGTGCTAGGTAAAAAATGTTCCTTCCTAAGGAACATTTACCTCTTCTATCCCTCACAAAATTATAAATTCCAAAGTTCCCAGGAAAAAAAGGAATAATTGCCAAATCCCTTTAAGTCAACAATACAGATGGCGGGACTAATTTCAGAATGTCTACCTAACTGACTATATAGACCACAGGGGGAGTTGAAGAATGTATTAAAAAACAAAATCAAAACGCTGATTTTTGCACTGACAATGTTCAGATCCAAGAGAAGCTATATTTTATTTCCATAGAGTTAGTAGTGTAAGACTATCCTATGTAGAATTTGGGATATTTGAAATCACCTTCACAGTCTGCTTAGAATGGCTTAATTCAGTTAAGCAAAGGCACAAACATCTCAATTATCTACTTCCTACTGAAATGATTACCCCAATTCCATAAAACCTTTCAACATCCTGAGAGATTTACCACATACATCTTCCTCTGCTCTCCTAACACAGACAGAAAAGGCACGTTTCAACCTTGATTCCCCTTTCTTCAAAAAACTAGACATCCACAACTTTAACTATTATACTAATTTTAAGGATGGCAGAGAGTATTTTTGCAAGCCACATATGTTCAGTATATTGATTTCTAATCAGCTATGACCCTAAAAGAGAGCCAGGTTGATCGTGGTTAAGGCATCAGGCTACAAACCGGGACAGCATGAGTTCTAGTCCCACCCTAGGCACAAAAGCACTAGGGCCAGTCACTCTCTCTCAGCCCTAGGAAGAAGGCAAGGGCAAAACATTTTTGAAAATGCTGGCAAAGAAATTTCAGGGAGTTGTCCAGGCAGCCACCAGGAGTCAACACTGACTGGGAGGCACCAAAAGTAAAAAAAATTAAAAAGGGCACTAACTAGCTCAGCAGTTTGCAGGTTGGAAGAGACAACAATTAACATTCCTGCATATCCACAATTAAGCTACCTTTACACTTTGATATTTTTTTTGCCAATTCTTTAGTTGCTGCAATACAGGCTGCCCAGAAGTATGGTGCACAACCAGTTTGTTAGAGAATGTTTCCAAAAACAGGTTTCTGAACTGTCATTATATGGTGAATTCATTCACTCAGCCAAAAGAATTCAGGATACAAAGGCCGGAAGTTTTCCAGGTTACTTTCAAACAAGCCCTGGAAAATACACAAATGTCTCTAATGGATCATTTAAAATGTAAACTTAAATCCATGTTGTAGTTGCCCTAAAGATAAGCAGACAAGGTTAATTTGGAAAAACATGTACTGTTACTTACTGTTCCACATGAATTAGGTCCACCATGAAAAAGCTTGCAAGTCATTTTCACAACCTCCGCTTCCATCTTCCTCACACCTGGGAAGATATCTGGATGAAGTGGATTAGTCCATGCAAACTCCTCATAAACCTTGAAGGAAGAATAATAGTCCCTTGAACTATGATACCACCTGCATTCCTTCCCTCCATAACTTCTTCTCCTTCATAAAGCTGTTATTGTCCACTTACGTATAGAATAAAGCAACCTCTTTTCATTTTCAGTCCACAAAGAATTACAGAATTTTGTGAAATCTAGTGAGGACATTCAAGGATTCTCTCTTGGGAAACTTCTTCCTCAGATGAATGTTTCAAACCCTCACTGACCACATCACCCACATGTTAATGAATAATAATTAATAATCATTTGTCAGACAGAACTAAACAATTCCCATTAACAAAACCATGTTATAACTGTGAATAATTTCATGAATGATTTCACAGGTGCTTTTTAATGGACTAAAGCATATAAATTCAGAGCACAGGTCCAAATGAAATTTATCTTAGGCAGCTCAGGATATGGTGTTACTCACCTGTCTGACCTACACCGGTATCTCCTTTCCCTTTCACGGCCACCTGCCTTTCAAAATAGAATACCTTCCAACACAGATGTGCTGAGTTCCTAAGCAAATACTACACCCCAGTGAGAAAAGTGTGGAAAGCAAACTAACGTCAATCTCAAACAGCTGGGATGAGATTAGCTTAGAATAGAGAGGGTGCTTAATCTTCTCCCTTTCTTCTGCTTCTCTCGGTGCTGCTAAACACATATAAATACACACACTTCCTCGTGTCAAGTCTAGATCTGCCCTTGTAAATATGCCCCAAGCACTCCTGGGCAAGAAGTATTTTAAGGGGATCTTGAATCAACTAGCAGAAAAATTGAGCTCTCCTTCTCCCAACACTTCACTACTTTAAGAACCGGTTCCTGAGGTGGTCTTCTTCAATTTTTTAAAGCCCATCAAGATTTTGTTGACGCTCCATGGCATGCTACAAGCATATGAAACTTAATAAAATGGTCATCTATGATACTGCTATCTGGATCTTTACATCACAATCATATTCTCCACTTCCTTTCTCAGACTCTTCTACAGGCTACCTGTCATCACAATGCTGAAATAGCACACTATTACTTAATCATTTTAGGATGGGGAAAAACTGCAACCCTTCAGTGATTGTTGGACAGCAAGATTCATCTGATGGGGTTGATGGGAGTCCAACAGCATCTGGAGGGCTGCAGTTCCTCATTCCTAACCCTAGATTTTATGCAGGGACCATTAGTTTAAGCAATTTGAAGATATGAGGCATTAATAAAAAAAATTTGAAGGGCACAAAAATATGTGAAGGTCCCTTACTACTTGCCATACTGTCTTTCAGGAAGAGGAAACCATTGTTTTTGGTTATTCCACACCCCCCCCCCCCCCCCCCCCAAAAAAAAACCCTCTGTTTGTGGCTCTTCTCTGGTTACCACTGGCTTCAGTTTAATCCCAACTAAAAAGAAAGTTGGAAAAATACAGGACCGGACTGTTTCAAATAAGAGAATAGAGTTTACAGTGATATGTCAATAAAGACACAAAGTAGTTAATTATTCAGCACTGTTATTTTCTTTACATCTATTGCTGGTTTTAATAAAAAAAAAGTCTTTGAATAAGTCTCAGGAAAGGAACTAACATTGAAATCACTGAACCTATAAAGTATGGTTTTTATTTGCTTTTACTTTTCTGGTATTTCATCTCAATTACTTTGTGTCTTTTGGCCTGGAGTTTTATGACTGTTATTATATTAATATTTTTAACCATACCATGGAGGCTTTACTATTTTTCTACATTATGTATCATATAAGCCATCAAGAGTTTTTGGACTGCAGTGAATATAAATGCAATCAATCAATCAATCAATCTCATTTGGAATGTACTTTAATTACACATATGCATTACACAAGATAGAATTCTCTACTAGTGTCGTGCTATATTACCTTAACAAGCAGATTAACAAGTTTCTCTTCCCCACTGTACACTGTCCCAGATGTTTTGCCATCTTCCCACTGTATATTACCTAAGAACACAGAAAAAATATGCTGACTCATCATATTTAAAAGCTCTTTGAAAATCAAAACTGTATTTTGTTTCTTGTTCACATTATCTTAGTTGGTAATGACCAGTCAGTTTGCCATGCTGATTCTTGCTATGTTTGCAAGAGAAGCAGCTTGAACCTAGGTAAACCAATTTAACATGTATACATTTCTGAAAATGTTGTCAACTACTGAGCTGAAACAAAAAGTCTGCTCTTCTGGGTTTTTAAATTACAGTTAACCATGCAATGCCCAGCCATGTTTAGAGCTGGCAGCTGGAATCCATAAAAGTTTGGGGGCATATTTCTACAGCACATATCTACATCTTCAGCATGCAATTAACAGGGTTCCTTTTCACAACTAGCATTGGGGAGAGGCAAGGAAGAGTAATCCACTTTACATTCTGAAGCACTTCAAACAATGATAAAGGATCACTTTCAGAAGGTATCAGACACTATGAGAGACCTATCCAGCCAAGGAGGCTTGTTATCAGTTGGGAAGGTCACAGGTGGTAGCTGAACTGCACAATGGAACTCACCATCTTAGCTTTTTTGACACCCCCTAAGGCCTTGTATCAGTTATCAAGCAACACCACCTCTTTCCTCATATTCAGATCTATAATCACAGGATTAGCTAAGGAACAGATTTTCACATTCCAGGAGAAGGTCAAGGCCATACCCAAAGTGCTGTACTCTTTCATCTTCTTCAACAATTCTGGCTGGCTGAGACCTTTTGCTGGTAGGCTTGTGATGTAATTCTTCTTGTGTTGCAAAAATGGCAGCTGGGAAGACATATCATCCAAAGTCTTGTATACCTGTTGCTGTATCTATAAATGGCAAAAGAGCACATGTAAAACTCCCAATAAAGTGAATCTTTTAAAATCAAAGGCACCCTTTAACTGCAAATCTTTTGTTAAAAACAGCAATCCTAAACATTACAGGTAGTCCTGGACTTACGACCACAATAGGAACTGGAAAATTCATCATTAAGCCAGGTGGTCATTAAGTGAGGCATCACGTGATCGCACCTGATTTTTTTACTTTTTTGCAGCCAACATTAAGCAAGTCATCACAGTTGTTAAATGAATCACAGTTTCCCCATTGATTTTGCTTGCCAGAAGCCCCCTGAGAAGATTGCAAATGGAGATCACGTGACCCCAGAATGTTGCAACTGTCATAAATACATGCCAGTTGCCAAGCACCCAAATTTTGTTCACATAACCATAAGGATTCTGCAATGGTCGTAAGTGCAAGAACCAGTCATAAGTCACTTTTTTCAGTGCTGTCATAACTTTGAACAGTCAGCTGAGGACTACCTGTAATGCAGTTCTCCAGATTTGTTGCCTACAACTCACATAATTCCAAGCTATTATAGTTACTGGCCATCTTGAATGAAATGGGAACCACAGTCCAGCCGTAATTCAGGACATCAGTTTGGAAAAGGCCATTTCAAAACAGGTATCAATATGAAACTTGAGTCCTGGATTTTAGCATTTAGGATTTTTGTTATACTTTTTTATTTATTTATCTGATTTATATGACCACCCATCTCAAGTACATACGTCTAACAATATTAAAAGTAAATTTTTCTGCAGGCTGTGGAAGCTTTCTGAGAATTTCTCTGTATTCTCATGTTTATATGAAAGTCCACAATATTATTATTGCATCCCAGACTTAACTATTGTTGATAAGACAGACAAAAAAGTCTGGATAGTGGACACTGCAAAACCTTGAGACAGCAGAATAGAAGAGAAAGAACCGAGGTGCCTTAGGTGTAATCCGAAAACGTCTGGAGCACCACTTGAACACCATCAGCATTGAGAAAATCACCATCCATCAATTGCAGCTTTACTTGGAACAGCGCATATCCTGTAACAATACCTTTAACACCATCGAACAACATCTGCCTATCCCAGGTCCTTGGGAAGGACTCAATAGGTGGATAAAAATGCCAAATCCAGTCTAAACATCTGGCTGACTGTGCAACAACAACAACAACAACAACACATTTATATGCCACCCGACTCTCAGTGACTCTGGATGGTTCACAATTTTTAATGCCCTTTACACCTGTGGATATTTCATGATCAGAGACTTTCTGCAGAGCCTCTGATCTCAGGAAATATTCTGTGCATATATAAAGATGTACAAATCCCCATTCACATCTGTCACGACATATGTGGACCTTAAGAATAAGGAACATGATCTCACTGTTTCCCACTCATGTGTTCAATTATTGTGTAATTATATGCAATAAATACAATTAAATATACAATTATATAGTTAATAAATATAACTGAGTATCTCTGTTGCATAACAAAGTTTTGGGTAATATATTGAACTTTTCCTCTAGTAAGATTAGTTTTTTTCTATTGCTTCCTGATAAAGCAGAAGCGTACATATTGAATATACTAGAGTAACCTGAAATGTAAGTCAGAGATCTCTGAAGCCAAACACTCTTCCATATTCATATACCTTCTTGACTGCAGCTCAGGAGAGAAAATCTATACAAGAGATATAATCATCTCTCTGTTCTAGTCTAATTTTTTTTAAAAAAAGATATCCTTTCCAATACTGTTCTCTTAAAAGCAGACCTAAATTATTTCTCAGCATGGAAGAAGACTGAAAAGGCTAAACAGCCTGCAAATCCTCAGCACTTCCCAGCATATACTTCACCCAGTCTTCAGCATATTTCCTTCAAGAGCTTTCCAAGTGTTAGAACTCCTGATCTTGGAAAGAGACCAGGGATGGGACAGGGTCCCCCCAATAGAGCACCCTCTTAGATCAGAGCCCTGTTTCAGCTGAGCAAAAAGTAAGAAATCCTTATCTTCTTGAAAGCTGTCTGAAGAATTCGAGAACTTTATGGTTTAAACCCATAAAACAAAATCATCCTTTTGCTTTACAGCAACGCTGACAGTAAGCTTTTTTTCTTACATTAAAAGAGTACAACTTTTAATGTAGTATATTTTGTTGTACATGCCAGCATGAATGTGTTTCCTTTTCTTGATGCTGAAAAGTTTAGGCATGGTAGCAACAAAACTGCATAACATGCAATTTGATAATTATGTAAAGGTTCAGGAAGGATTTTATAGCTGAGTTACTTAAAGAAGAAAAATATATTCCGCAGAATTCCTACCTTCCAAGAAATCATACGTTGTTCTTTTTCTTTTCCTGTACACTGAATCAATAAAATGTTTAAAAAATACGCCAATCAATGATTATCTCACTTAAAAGTATGCAACGTGAAATGAAATGAAATTTCTTTATTGCAGCCTTTGAACAGCATGAAATTAGTTTAAATTAGCTGTTCAGAAGTTATACCTGGAAATTATTTGATATTTTTCTATGATGCTTCAATGTTGTTCAAAACAATGTTGTTTTGAAGTTTATATGAGCCAGTCCAAATGCTAGCAGTAGCTGGAGCAAATCCAGACACTCCTGGATGTGATGGATTATCCAGATGCATTTCAGCTGGATTTCAGGTCAGGTCACCAACAGAAAAAAAACTCTAGTTGCCCTGATGGACAATCTGTTGAAGGAACAAAACAGGGATGTCCCTCCTGTTTCTGGATTCCATGGTAGCTCTTGATACCATCAATCAGGGTATCCTCCTGGATCGCTTGGGAGAGCTGTTACTGTTACCTTCCTGGCAAGTTCTGGGGGGGGCAGGATACCACAGAATATTATACTACACTCCAAGTTTTTCAGTACCTATATGAAGCCACTGGGAGAATCTTCAGAGAGTGTGAAACTGGGTGCCATCTTTATATGGATAATACCCAGATATTTTTGTCTTCTCCATCTTCTTCAGGTGGGTCAGCCTCCATAGTTGGCTTCTGCTTGGACTGAATTGTGGTCAGGATGAGGTATAATAGGCTAAAGCTGAATTCAGACAAGTCAGAAAACTTGGTGGTTGAAGAAAAAACTCTCCAATTGGAGAGGGATTACTAGCTCTGGATGGGATTGCCTTCACTCTGAAAGAACAGATTCACATCCTGGGGGTGCTTCTCAATTTCACACTATTCCCCAATGCCCAGGTGATTCTAATGACGATTAACATCTTCTTTCAGCTGCATTTCATTTCCCCTTCCTGGATAGGGCTGACTTGTCATCCATGATTCATACTCTGATTACCTCCCAAACAGATTACTGCAGTCCACTTCATGTGAGGATATCGTTGAAGGAAATGAGGACATTGCAATGAGTCCAGAATGCTGTGGCCAGGTTTTGATGGGTCTTCCTTGTGACACTTATCCTGGCCCAGGTGCACTGGTTTCACATTGTCTTGAAGGCCAAATTTAAAGAGCTTTAATATATAGATCCCTTTATGGTTTGGGTCTTGCATTGCCAAATGGAATGACTTCCACATTACATTATATATTATATTAATTATATGTATTGTGTTATATTACATTACATTACATTACATTACATTACCAAGGAAGGACTCCATTAATCCTCTATAGTGTTATTACTGATGCCACTAGCTAAAAACTAGAGCGGGGCCTTCTCAACAGCAGCACCATAACTGTAGAATTCCCTACCCCTCGCTGGTTGATTTTAAGAAATAATCTATTTTTATGAGCAAGCCTTCCCTCTTCAAACCTAGCATTTTATCTTTAAGACTTATGAAGAATAGATATTTTGGACGTTTTCATGTGTTTTTAATTGCAATTATTTAATGTTCTATTGCTTTATCTGATATGACTGTCTGATGTTTATTACATTTAGTGCTTTTCAATATTCAATGGAAACCAACATAGGTGGCATCCCATGAGCACGTGGTGTAAATTCAACACTCAATCAATAAGCAAGTCTGTGTTCCTTCTTTTGCCATCTTCTGTATGAACGCTCGGAGATCTTCAAGGAGCCCTCTGAATCCCTTACCAATAAAGCAAACCATATGAAGATGCAGACATGGAGTAAGTACAGTAATACCTCGGTTCACAAACGCTTCTGTTCATGAACAATTCAGTTCACAAACAGCACCACTCGCAAAATTTTGCTTCCGTTCGCAAACTCCGCATCGGGTGACGAACGCGACCCACGGCCATCTTCCCTGCTCTGACACGTGGTTGTGGCTTCCTGTAGGCGAGGGGGACTCTCCCTC